GATTTTCACCTTTTAAATATTTAAATTTTACCTCCAGCTGGAAAATCTGAGATAAGATACAATTCCAATCTGATGAGGTTTTATAATTCAACTTAATTGATTGCATTCTGATGAGAAACTTCAATGAATGCCCTGTAGGTCCTCCAGCTACTCCTATATTTCCTTTTAAATCTCAGGAAAACCCACAAGTTCTCCTAGCATTGGCAATGACAGAAACAATCCATGAAAATCTGGGAACTGATCACGTAGTAAGGTGTGAGTGTGTGTGAGCACAGTGCCCAAACAGAAAAACAGCAGACCCTAACTATTAAGTGACCCTGGGCTTCTGAAAGGGAAAGCCCAGGTACAGTGACAGGTGGCACTATGTTATGGACAGCACAGCAGCCCTAATCCTGTGGCTGATCCATCTCCAGACTTTGGTGATGTTTGCTCCACTCCAGCTGAGCTGGAGTCTGGTTCGGCCACAAAGATCTCTGGAGTTTCTGCCACATGCCCTCTTTGTCACTAAGCATTTCCTTTCTTTGTTTGCTTCTGCCATTTTTAAAAATTCACATTAGCACTTAAATAAATAAGAAAAATACACCAGAACACCAATAGAAAAATGGGCAAAAGACTTGAACAAGCCATCCTTAAACATCAAAAAGAAAAAAAAAATGGACATGTCAAAAAAGTTATTAGCATTATTAGTAACAAAAGAAAGAAAAGTTTGAAAAATACCATTTTCACCTATCAAGTTAGCAAGGATTTTTCAAAAGATGATATCACGTTGGTGAGAACTGCAGGTTCTGGCTAAGCATCAAGCCTACACACACACACACACACACACACACACACACACACACACAAAATGCTAAATAGATAAGCAGACAAAAGCCAGGCAGAAGGATGTACATCAGTTACAATAGTAAAATATGGGAAATAACATAAAAATCTAAAAATAAAACAATGGCTAAGTAAATTAAGACGTCCATACATTATATTATTTTCCAGTTACTAATTGTATTAAAAATACCAAAACTGGCTTTAAATACCAGTTTTAATTTATTGGGAAACACCAACAAAGTAATGCTAATTTTTTAAAAAGTATGAAATTTTACAATATGATTCTAATTATTTAAAAAAATAGTACACATTATGCGTAATGGTAAACTACCTTGTAACTTCAATAGCAATTCTTTGGGCATTGGGATAATTTTAAGTTCTTAGTACATGCCAGGCATATGTTCAGCACCTTATATACACTGCATTACCTTTATGCTTACAAACATCTTAGGAGGTGGGTCTTTATCCCTGTTGAATATCCGAAGAAACTGAGACTCAGAACAGGTAAGTAACATGACCACCCTGAGAAAGCTCTTACATGGAGAAGCCAGGACATAAGCTAAGGTCAGCTTGACCCAAAGTTCCTATTCATCATATCCAAGTAATCTTAATTTTCTGTTTCATATATTTTTATGTGCTCTAGGGGATCTAAAATAAGCATTTAGTGCCTTTATAATTTGTAAACAAATCAAGAATACAAATGTTATATTAATAGTATGCATATTCACAGAGTGACAATTCTAAAAATTGCTTCCTTCAAAGATGTTGGACCATGAATAGGATCTTCAGGATCTCAAACTAGTGTACTTAGTAATGAGCATGAGCACTCCTTTTAATAAATGTAATCCCAAAGGCTTTCATGAGCCACATCAATTCTGCCACATTTATTCATTTAAGAAATATTTATTTAACACCTGTCTTTTGCCAGATATTGTGCTAGCTGTTGGCACAATAGCAGAAGAACCAGTCTAAATGACTTTCTTTGGATAATAGGAAAGTCTTTGGGGGATAAGTGGAGAGAGAAAGAGATAGGGAAGACTATCAGTCTAACCCTGAAAAGTCCTGGCTACATACATCTAAGGAACGTTTTTTTTAAACTTTCCATGAAAACTTATATTTCTGAGGATCCAGGACACCCCCCTGTAAATGTCATACAATTTGAAACCTCTACAATGCATTCATACTTTTACTCTAATTATACTAGTCAGATGAACTAAAATGCTTTTACACATCACATAGTATTATTCTCCTGCACAGGCTATACATTTGCTTTTCTGAGTACAATATTTTCATTGTTAAGTAAGCAGAGCTGGACTATCAGAAAAAGGATTCTTAGCAGAAATGCAGTTGGATGGATTTCCATTCCTCTTGGCTCCATACCTCTTTGTCCATGCCCACCTTCCACTTTTCCAGAAAAGCTCATGTCTTTCAGCAAATGACTTCTAACGCGAAGGCCATTGTCTCTACAACTGTAGATTCACAGGTAAATACTTTCTTACTTTTTAGCTTATGAGTCAACCAAAATTTTTATCAATTTAGATTTAGATCATTTACTTTTACTTGGCTGTTATAATAAGATCAAATAAGTTAGAATACACATATTATAAATAAATACATATTTCTCCTTGTCTACAAAGTCTACACCAGGCCCTAGTGGTAGAAAATGTTGAGGAATATTATTATTGAGAAAAAGTATAAGAAGTCCATATGGATGACAATGACCTAGACTTTCAATATTGAGTTCAAATAAATTTGGACCTTGTAGGGCGATCCCTAAAAGCAGAGAGATATCTATTTGAGAAGGAAAACCTGGGATTCCTTAGAATTGAACACGGACAGCAAATTAACTCTCCTTGTTAATTCCCTTCCATAGGGACTAAACACCAAGGAATCATTGAGAAACCAGAGCAAAAAAAAATCTAAGTTGGTATAATAGATGCCTTACGCTGTTTGCAAATTAGGTGGTTTTCATCTTTCAGACCACAAATTTAGGAGGAAGGATGAGAGCCCATAGCTCTGAGATCAGATGTCACTGCCATGGAGATTCATCTTATTTAATAAATGATACCATCCAGTCTTTTCATAATAATAAACACTTGTTTTATCATCTCGGAAAATCATAAACTACCCTCCCATGGTTTCTCTAAATATAGTTTTTTTAAGATTATAAAAATACCCAGTAAATCTACTCTCCCATGAGTGTGCTAATTACTGTTTTAGTTCATGCTAACAGAAGAAATGGCTTAATAACAGTAACTTAACTGGAGGAGATCAAACTGCTCATGCATTTAAACTAATGAGTACAAATCACCTTTGCATTTGATATTAGTGCTATAATGTATATTTCATGGGTACCTGCTACTATTACTACGAAAGGCTTTAGAAACAAATACAATTTAAAGTGTTTCAGTTTTCAAAATTATTTAATACACATAGTGTCTAGGAGCTATGCGACCAGGAGGAAAACATTTTCTACTACAACGGTAAAAACTGTTTCTCATATTTCCAATTACATGGTTTCAGAAGGATTCATTACCCGGAAAACCGGTATGTATGAACGCCGGAAATGCAGATGACATCCAGTCTCAGAAGTGTTTATTCTAAATGGAAACCAAACTATAAGATTTCTATTATTTATGAGAGCCTTCCCATGATGGAAATAATCTCCCTGTAAAATAATCTAACAAGAAAGAAAGAAAGAAAGAAAGAAAGAAAGAAAGAAAGAAAGAAAGAAAGAAGAGAAAGAAAGAAAAAAAGAAAGAAGAAAGAAAGA